GGGGGGGGGGGGGGGGGGGGGGGGCTGCAGGGCAGAAACCTCCACAATAATGTTTTTCAGGGCAGAATGTATTCAAAAATTGAGCAATTATACCTAAAAATGATTAAACGGGAATTAAGAGCTGTGCGCATAGTATTGGTGGAAATAGATAGAAATATGCAACGTTTTGACCATAAAACTGTGTTTGAGTGTATGTTTGAAATTTTAGACTCTCCGTGCCCCCTTCGAAAGGAATTTTGGGATACAACGAAAAAAATTGGAGAGCGGGACGGAAAGGGGGAGGAGGGGTTCGGGCAATTTCACGTCCTTCGGGCAAATATTCTTACGCCAATCTATTTTTTCTCCCGTACGCCATGAATCAGTGAAATTGATAAATATGCAAACTTTATGTAGCTGGGCACAGGTCTGCTCTTTAAAAAATTTCCGCGGAGCGATCTGAATAAGTCATCAATGTCTAAGTTGCATGCATGTATGAACTGACCTAGAAACATTAATAAACAACTATTGCATGAATGAGGTCGAGTACGATATGAGGAATTATTAAGGCCGAAGTTTGTGTTATCTTCCGAAGGCCGATAACACAAACAGAGGCCTTAATAATTCCTCATATTCTGCGAGAACCGAATTCAATAATTGTTTCATTATTTATTTGTCGGAATACACAAAAAAGGTAGGGGAACCTTTCCTTTGAGGAAGCCGTTGTATTTCTCCGCTTTTAGTGAGCAGCATAAATTAGGGCGACGTCAACATGCCACGGAATTACGTCCAACCAGGTATATTTGTTTTCAATATTCCACGGTGATGTCACAACTCCAAATTTGGGCGTCGATTTCAAGCGGATATGACGATTTCACTGCAGCTCTTTGCCAATCAAAACTCTGACTTGAATAATTTTCAATAAATAATAATTGCTGTTGCAGTTTGGAACCGAATCAGTTCTGTTCTCTGCATAACACGAATTGTGTTGTTGATTGTAAACTTGATAAAAACATCTTTCGGCATCATTAAAAAGCCCGAAAATTGAATATTAGAGTAGTATACAGTGGGCGGATATATCCGATGATTGGAAACGTAAATGTGTGTTTGCGCGCAATCATGTCATTTGTCAACATATCAAATGAGATAAAATCTGCTGATGGTCGCAGGTATGCGAAGTAACAAGATCTTAATCGCACACTTCCAAAGGAGAACACATGAATGCCACACGCACATGTGAGAATTTATCAATATTTTCATCAGAAAAATCATTTATCATCAGTTGACACACAGCGGAGAATCGTCAACTAATGTAGTACTAGAGATTAGCGTTTATTAAACAATATAATTGCAAATTCCGCGCAAATGAATTCGCAGGTTCAACTCCAACTGGGGAACTGATCTGCATTGAATAGGATATAGCAAAATGTAGCTTTCTTGTGCCTATGCGCACATTACGGCACATATAACAATAATTTATCAGCGTTTGTTGTCGGCCATGAGTAAGACCATTCATCGGACATTGTTGATGAGTAACACCATTCATCGGACATTTACGCGTTTAATTAAATCATGCACTGTTGCAATAGTAATAACTGTTTTTGTATTTCTAATTGTTTTTGTGTTTTTTTGGGGGGCTGAATTTATTCCAATTTTGTTTATTTATTGGCAGTAACTTCCACACAAAACTGCTAGCCGCCATTTTGCAAATTTCGGTTTAAATTTGTTATATTCACCTGTAGGTGAATATAACAGCTTAGTAGGCCTACGTCAAATTTTACCAATCAACTTGTAAGATTAAAGATTTGTTATATTCACTTGTGCAAAACTAATACTAATACTAATACTAATACTAATACATGTTATTTTCAATATCCGTCCACTTCGGTATCGAAAGTTGCCTATATAAGCGAATAAAATAGTAAAATGGTTATAAAATAAATTGGTTTTCCCTCCGAGCCTCGTTGGTTTTTACTACACTTTACGCGACGTCCAGAAAAAAGGTTTTCAACCGGCCATATTAAAACCCTATCATTATCCAATTATGCAAACACATTATACATGCATTTTAAAGCCAATTTTTGAAGTGGATGGTTGCATATGTCTAGCTGATACTCAAATGTTTGCCTTTTTGGGGGAAACGAACCAACTTTATAAACTTATCTGTAGCATGCAGTGCAGTAGGTACTGTATACGTGCTTCGGTGCTTAATTAATGCAATACAGCGTACTGTAGCTGTGCGCAAATGCGTGTTGTTGTTGGAAAAAATCAAATCCTATTTTTATTAATCAGCACTGTGACACCGCCTTCAATATATAATTGAAGTTTATTTATATGCTAATAAGCTTTTCTTATAGATAAACATGAAACTTAATATGATCAAACACTGATCACCGTATATGAACATATGTCTGTGTGCTTTACTGCATTCAGAACCGCAAGCAACAAAGTTAACAGCGTAATGGATCTAACTAAAGCCAACTACGTGTATGGAAGTTATTCGCGCTTCCTTATTTTACTTACAGGTGTTTTTATCTATTGTGACTCAACACGAGGAGGTTTTGGTACGGAATTCAAGCGTAGTATTCTCACACTAGGTTGGTTGTTAGATTCCCGTTTATTCACGAGAAAAAAATGACATAATGACATATAGTTCTGTAAAGAAAAACTACAGTGCTTATAGACTTTTTCGGCATTCAGTAAAGCCGGTGCGAGCGGGGAGAATATTAAATCCCCTCAAGAGGCAGACTTGTACATTGAACTGATTAATTTAAGCGTAGTAATCTCACTGAAGGTTGTTAATTGTTAGGTCATCTCATGCGGCACAAGAGAAGGAGGCTGGAATGACTTACCTACATAAGCCATCAAAGAAAAGCTTGAGTGCTTATAATATTATGTAGCTTGAAAAAATGAATATGAGAAAATAGAGAAGGACTTTGACCGATTCAGAGCATAGTATCTAGTATTATTATAGTAGTCAGATAATATCATATAGACTTTATTTAGTGTAGCATTATTTATAAACTCTATTGCCTGCTATACAGCAGTGTCTATTTGCAACATGTTGAAGGGCCGCCATATTATCAGTATTAAATTAACCCCTTTTTTAAATTATATTAATATTCACTATTATTATTGTTGTTTTGTATAGAAGAGTCAGCAAGAATTCATAACAGAGTACGTCGGCAATCTCGAGAGCAACCTTCAGGCGAATGTAGCTCCCAACGCTATTGCACTGGGAATGAGACTATATTTCGAGCTAAGAATGAAAATTATTGCTCCTGTGACGAAGCTTGCTTTAATATTTTCTCCGATTGCTGCCCAGACTATGAAAGGCACTGCGGCCTGCAGGAAAAGCTGGAACCTAAACAACCAGCATCGATGTGGAAATGTGTCGAATTCAGTTGGTCTCCTACTTGGCCATGTAAAATTGAAGGAGTGACTGGAGTTTGGATGATTTACAAATGCCCAGAACACCGAACTTTTGACGAATTGAGAACAAAATGTGAAAATGGCCCATCGGAATTCTCGTACCCCATAGAGGATTTTATTCCGGTCGTTGGAGTAAATGGCGAAACCTTCCGGAATAAGTACTGTGCTTTGTGCAATGGAGTGGAAAATTACACCATGTGGAATGTTGGTGTTTTCACGTACGTTCTACCTCCTGAAGAATTCGACCTGGATATGAAGCTGGAGTTTATCGAAAACAACGGGGGGACGATTGAGCATGTTTCACCGCTGGGCGAGCAACCTCGAAGATTTTGTTTTGGAAACAATTATTTAGATAACTGTAGTTCTGCAGACCCTAGTTTGTACAAGGCTTGCGTTGAAGGTCCGGTTGAAGTCGTCACAACTACAAGAAATAAATATCTTTACTTTAAGAATTTCGCATGTGCTTCATGTAATGGATATCGTGATGCCACCGAGTGGAAGACAGCTCAAGTATGCAGCCCCATACTGCCTGAAGGATTTTCCGCCGTCTTTAACTTGAAAGGTAAAAAGACAACCACTGATATAGTGACGAAGTTTTGTCCTTCTGATACGGTTTACGATCCTACCTTAAAATTCTGTCGTAAAGGGTATATTATTACTTCTAGCGGTGAACTAACCGACGAGTTTTTGATACTGCTATGGTTTAGGCAGTCTAAAGCCCGAAGCGTTACAGAAATAAATTCCAAGCTTGAAAATGTCTTAAAATTAGCGTTATCCTCCCACTTCTCGATTCTAAGTAACCAAATTTCAGGAATGACTTTCCAACAGCAAGACGAGAGAAACGCTTTACTCGTTGTTTCATTTCGTTTAACATTGACCCCATTCCAAATCCTTATAATGGCCAACCAAAACAGAACCAGCTTAAATGCTACACACGAAAACGCTGCGTTCTTACTACTTTTAGACTCTAAAGGAAATTTTACCCTATTTTGGAAAAATTTTAGTTTCTCTGTGGTCAAAGTGATTTCTAAACGGCTTTCATGCTATGGGGAAGAAAAACTTCAATCAAATGAATACGAAATTAATAGGGAAAATGGAACTCTTGTTGTCAATACAACGGGACAAATCTTTTTACTTCAAGATTATACTTTATTAGAAAATGGGGGAAACATTACGTTATGCCTTAAACTGGTCCTTTCAAATTGCGAAGGCGCATACGTGCCTTTAAGTCTTGACGAATACGAGATTTTTCCCAATTTGACAGTTTATTACATCGCAACAGGCACCTTTATCAACTTCGGGGAATATCTTATTCATGAAATTTTGAGCAATGACCAAAGTAACACCTCAGCCTTGATCTTATCAAATAACGTTACGATATCTGTCTGTTTGCCACTGGGGAATAACTACACCGAAACTAAAACAGATTATAGCACAACGAAGATAAACGATGGGATACGAATTCTGACATTAACTGGATTCAGCGTTTCCATAATCTGTCTGGCTCTACTTTTGATAACTTATGGGTTATTTCAAGAATTGAGAACCGTTCCTGGATTGAATTTAATGAATTTAAGCTTTTCAATGTTACTGTCACATCTCATATGGTTGATAGGCACGTCTCGTTTTATTGGCACAGGAACATGTAAAGTTCTAGCAATATTTGACCACTATCTTTTTCAAGTTTCTTTTTTAGCCATGTCTGTCATATCTTTTCATTCTTGCCGTACTTTTTCACAGCCTATAGTTGGACGAATCGCTAATAAATCTTGGTGGAGGTTTTTCAAGTATTCAACATTCGTGTGGTTCACTCCTGCCATTTTGGTCACAATCTACGTCATCCTGGACGAAACTGAGGCGTTCTCAGTAGATTATGGAACAAACTGTTGGTTGGGAACTAAAAACGCTAAACTGTATTTATTCTTGTTACCCCTGGCTATATTACTTCTTTATAATATCTGCACTTTCATCCAGACAGCTGTCAGTTTGTCACGTCACGAGAAGAACAGGAGAACCTTACAACTCAAAGAAGGAAAGCAAAATCTTCTCATCTGCACAAAACTGGCATCGTTGGTTGGGTTCCCTTGGTTGTTTGCGTTCTTTGGCGTGCTGTTTCCTCATGTAGAAGCATTCGAATATTTGTTTGTTGCTTTTGTTTGCTTGCAAGGATTGTACTTAGGAATGGCGTTTCTATTTAACAAGAAAACTCTGAAACTTTATAAGAATCGGTTCAACATCCGGGCCATGGGAAATACATCTTCCAATACTACACCAACTTTTCAAATGACGTAATGAAATGGGAGCATTGAAGTCCAGTTAGCTGCAATTAGTCTCTTTCTCTTAATTCTGTAGGGCTGCGCAATAGTTGGTTATATCTTCATGTTTCGCGCACAACAGGGTTAGTTGTGTGATAGTGGTGAAAATGAAAGGGAAATTATTCATGCGCGAAACGCAAGGATGTTACCCCATTCTTTACTTCGAAACGGAGATCGAGAAAAAGAATCGACGTTTCAACCTATCGAATATAATCTGAGGGCGGTTGTTCGAAAGCCGATTAGCTTAATTAACTATAGGTTAATCTAAAATTCGGAGCAAACTTCTTAGCAGGCTTGTTTATAAATTTGAATATATATATTTCTTCAGTAATATAGTCTGGATCAGTATAGGAGTTTTATTCTCTGAAGTTTTGAAATAAACAGACATGAATTAGCGCTAACCATTGGTTAAAATTTAACCTGCTGTTTTAACAGCAGGTTAAATTTTAACCAATGGTTAGCGCTAATTCAGCTTTGTACAAGCGGCGAAGCAAATTGATGGATCCCTTCGTAACCCACTGGTGCACCATATATCCATCACTCCACGTTGTTCTTCTTCGACCACGTGTAGAAAGGTGAACGATTTGCTTCGCGATGCCATAGCAAATATACAAACGAAAATACTTAAGAACTGTTATTGCGAGTCAGTAAAACTACATATCCCAATTGAAGTGAATCAGGAATTCAGGATAAGATAACTAGCGTGCAAAAAAATACTGGAAGTTTCAAAGCGACCATCAAGACTACTTTCCACAAATAGAAATATTGCAGAATAGCCGTCCACTAGTAATATCATATCATGTAGCCCGGTCACTATTTCACTGGCCAGTTACGTATATACCAGATCTTATTGCCTCGTTCTAATATACACAAACTGATTACTAAGACAATATTACGAATTGATACTATAAAGGAAATATCATGCGAGACTTTTAATGTTCAATATTATGCTTAGTATGCTATGCTTTATAATATTTTTTCTCCCAGCGACGCTAATTAATCATAATCTGTCAAACACCAATGTCCGGTTGCAATTGTGAGGAACATACTGTATTTACATATTACACCACATTTAAGCTCTCTATAGCATGATAATTTAATCTATTAATGCTAACTAACTGTCGCCTTCATCTCAAAATAACTACTTGACTGCGTATCCACCGGGGTAATAAAATCTGTTTATAGTTCACCTTGATCAAACAGTTTCTCTTATGAATTTGTCACATGTTATTTCACATTTGAAAGTTTGTGTGGATTTGGAACATTTCATAATTGAACATGCGCAGTCAATAAATTCAATTCAATTACAGAATTCTCGTATGAGAAATTTGAATAATACATGTTCTTTCACATATGCAATTAAAACTCAATTGCGCATGTGAAGTTACTATTTCAGACGTAGAATTAGAACAGTCTACAGTTCGCACGTAAGAAAAACGTGTTTTATTTCGAGTGCTATATCCTTTGGTTCATTAAGAACCCGCTATTATCCGTTATAGACTTTATTCTCTGGCTTGCGAAGTGTAAAGCAGCTGGACCGGTGCCGTAGCTGAAAAATCGGAGTTCGCACAGCACTGGGGCTTCAGTGGCGCAATCGTCAGAGCGCGCGCCTTTCACCCCTGATATCGTCCATGTGAAAAGAGTCAGTTAACGCTAGGTCGAAAGTCGTGGGTTTTCTCCGGGTACTCCGATTTCGTCCCACAGAGAATATTGACAGGGTTGGTTTGGATTAACCCCTAAGCTGGCATTATCCATAAACTAACCTTCCATCGTAGCTGTGCTCCGTGATCAGACATGAGCCACAATTAAGGTGGCTGCTAGAGGAGGCGTCCCTAGAAAGCCTTTCACTCGATCACGTTTAGCTGTGTCCTTCGCAATTCAGCTTAGCTATCAGCTGAAAGTAAGGATAGTAAACACCTACTTACTATTCGTGATCAAAAATCAAGTGAGGATAATAAGCAGCCACCCTCCCTACTTACTATTCCTGATCAAAAATGCATTCTGTATACATTCTATGGTGCCATCCCACTTGCTGCTCCTTGCAGAGAAACGTACTGGATAGCATGTAAAATATTTCTAAAACTTGCAGATTATATTATTATATATTTAAGCAAATCGCATATGTTTTTAACATCATTGCTTCACTATATTAAAATTTACACTACTAGATAAAAAAGCTAAAAATGAATTGTTCCATCTCTGTATGGCTTATATGTGATTACTTGCTAGTATTTTGCAAATACAGCAATATTATTTGGTGATGACATGCTATGCTATGGTAATATAAAGGGCGTATACAAAAAGGTAATCCAAATTTGGAGTGCTTTTGTGCGCTCAATATCGAGTGCACAGATTTTTTTATGGTAGTAATGATTGGGTTTTTAGCTTTAGAATTACATCCATTTCATATCATTTCAAGCAAAAATGACCAAATGAAAGCCGGTTAAATATTGCCAGCCGAAGTCACATTTTTCCACCTTTGTGCATTATTAAAGCAGTACATAACAAAAAGAAAAGCAATTAATCATTAAAGTGTCACGCCCAACAATAAGCTTAAAACAGAAGTAACCACATCTATGAACAATTGTTTAATTTAATCCCACGTGTTAGAGCTTTTTAAATTAAAATTTGAAATCCAAATGGAATTTATTTTCAATAGTTTTCTATCCAATTTCCTACGGTGGAAGAATGTGATTTCAACCGGTAATTTTATTCCATTCGTATTTGGTCATTTTCCATTCTAATCTTACAAAAAATGTCATTGGACAGTTAAATTTTATTGCCGTGTAAAACTACATCGTTAAATGCTAAATTTGGACTATCTTTTTATATATCGCATTAAACCTCTCACAGTGCGGTGTTTCGGTCTTACTTATATTTTATATTTTCACCTGAATTATGACCATTGATGTTCCTCTTATTTTTACGAAGAATACTTTTGGCTCATCAGCCACTGTCCGAGCTAGTTGGCATTGTCGAATGAAAACCCGTTTTACCTGGTACTTATCAACGCTTGTAAGGCGATTCGAGATGAAAGAATGCTAACCAAATGTTATTGTGATGCAATGATGTAATGAAATTCAAAAGTTACCAGGAAGGACCTTTTCAACAGCTTTTGAAGGACTTTCTGAACCAAATCTTGTTTAAACCGCCCTTGAAGGTCGATCTTTTGCACTTTCATTACTTTGTCTTTGGACGTTATAGCACCCCAAATGCAGGAAACTTGTGTGACTTCAATGTCATTTTTGGTCCTGGGGACATTGTCTTTGTGGACCGACAGAACATAGTCTTTCGACCTATATAGTCGAAACTATGGACTTCACGAGTCCTGTCCTAATGCAGGGAGCATTATGGGACATCGTTCCAATATAATGCAGAGAGCATAGTGGAATCTCGATAGGATGCAAATAGCATCGTGTTCGTGAGATGGGATCTTGCACATAAATTTCACGTTTTGGTCTAATATCGATTAAAAAGTTATCTTACACTGTAAGTAATAACAACTTAAACAAAATAACCATTAACATAGCCGACGTAAACCAATTTCGTGATATATACATTATCACATGAAAAACTAACTAGATCCCAGTCTCCATGGTAATATTATCCGAGGCATCTACTGAATCAGACTTTACCGTTGTGGGAACCTTCGAGTAGGTAGTCTTGGCGTAAGTCTTGCCATAGTCGGTCCCAGTACTCTCAGGTCCATTCATACCATTGTGATCCATCTTTATTCCTCCTTCCTCCTCTTCATCCCTACGTCTCAACTCTTCTGCCCTTCTCTCTTTCTCCTCCTTCTCTTTACGGCTCGCTTCTGCCGCGCGATGTTCGTTCTCACGGTGGTAGAAATAGTTAAAATTGCTCACCTATGCGAAAAAATAAAGTAATGAAGAATAGTTTCTGCCATATTTTTGTTGTACTGCTATTTAGTACAATTATAATTAAATCTGGAATAGAGCTAGCCTGCGTGTCAGGCTCTATGCTTGAAATAGAGTCTGCTACTGGATTTATGCATAGAAATCGTACGCAAAATTCGCATTGGTCAGAAATAAATACCTTGCCTTTCAAGGTAATATCTAGTTACTGTTTATTTAATATGAGATTCCTTACTTGTAATTCTACTTTTGGCCGCTTTAATTACTGCTTTTACTGTCTATAAACACGGTCAGTACAATTAGGAGCCTTTTGTATGTAATTCCTGGCCGTAGAATGAAAATTGGACAATTTATGTTCGAGATATTTCCAGTTGAATGCTGATCCAAAGCAAGTCAATTACGCGGGAAAATTGGGTGTCACAGTCATATTCTAAATTATTGATTGATTGTTATTTTTGTGCATCCAAATCACTGTCCATTTTTTATTGACTTCAGTAGCAGGTTCTATTTCAAGCATAGAGCCTGACACGCAGACTAGAAAAGGGATACGGAAGGAACTTGGAATAATCTATCCAGAATTGTAGCGGGGTAGGAGTGAAAAATTGATGTATAGCTGGATTAATGTGCGAGGTGTGTCTAATGGTTCATTGAGTTGACGTTCTAATTCATGTCATGTGTGTTTAATATTTTGGGGTTTTATTTTACTTTACTTTATTCTATTGTACATGCTGTATCGTTCATAATTGTGTGGTGCATATTGCATGCTGGATGTTGTAAGGTTTAATTACTGTGTATTTTGTGTATGATTCATACAGATCTTTGAACACGAAGTGGCCATGGTTTGTACTGATCTGAACTGAAACACACTTCAGTGTTACGAATGAAGAGCCTTCCTTGGGAGTCTTGATATATACGGAAGGTCCTTCGCTTAAGGTGGCTCCCTAGGGTTTTTTAATTTACTACACTATAGTATTCAGGAGACTCCTGTTTCTTCACGTTACATGACATAAAAACGAAATTTATTGGACACATTGACAATGTTCTCCTGAACATTACAAATTGCAACTTTTGTGTTAAAAATCTGTTGTCATGGCAACAACATGCTTAGATAAAGCCCAAAATTTGTCTTTTTCAGGTCATTTTAAAAATTCCCTTCGGTGAAATTTTTTAAAACTTTGCATAAAAGGTCATACTTGTATAATGATTTTTTTCCCCTCAATTTAAAAAAATTAAATCGATACGTTTCTTAGAAAATTGAAAAAACGTCAAAAATCAATATTAAAAATTTTCCCTTCGATTTAATTTTTTTTTAAAAAGGATATTGCACTTGCTGTGCCGGTACTAAAAAATGTGCAAAGTTTTAAAAAATTTTACCGAAGGAAAACGGAGAAATTTGGGATTAATTTTCGCAATTTTACTAGATTTTTACGCGAACAATTTAATACCCCAACTGACGTGTACAGGCATTCTGCATAAAACAACAAGACATGACTTTTTTGAAATCACAAAATACGAATTATGTTTGATATACTGTTTATAACTGTGTCGGTTATTGGTCAACTAAGCGTGGATTATACATGTAAAATTGGCCAAGGTATTTAGGTAATTATTAGTTATTGATTTCTTGGTATTAGTTTGAAAAATGTTTGTCAAAATTCGTCCCGTGCGAGTTATGCATGAGTCAATTCCAGGAGTAACCATCCCCCCCCCCGGGAACACACCCGGAAATTTGATTAGATTGGTTATGACAGTGTAAATGCCCGGGTGCCGGGACACAACTTGAAGACTAATGCACGGCCCCTGGGCAAGCTGAGAGTGGAAAATGCACCACCCCGGGGACGATTTTACAGTCGATTTCACGAAACTTTGACCACAAATGTTCCGAATTTCGTTGCGAAGTTCGGAAGCTCATATTGGAATTCACAAGCCAATTTGTAAACAAAGTCCCTGATTGATCCGTGAAGTAAAAGAAGCCAATCAAATGCGTAGTTTACGAACTGGTTTGTGAATCTCATTATGAACTTTTGAACTTCGCAACAATCTTGTGAACTTCGCAACGAAGTTTGGAAATTTTGTGGTCAAAGTTTCGTGAAATCGACTGTAAACGTTAATTAAACTTTTAAAGGCATATAATCATAGTCATTTAATAACATTATATAGTATTAAACTGCTATGGAATATTATAAAACATAAACCTTTAATAGTTGTATTTAAATTTGCATGGCAGAGGTATAATTTTCGCTTATTCTTACAATAAATTTCACGCCACCTTGACCACGAGGCCGCAAAACACGATCAGCGCGCCCACATGCTTGCCTGAACTATGTTTTGCTGCCTTAAAATTTGTGGGTGGGATTCTGGGCAACCATTTGTCAAATCCCCGGGGTCCTCCAATACCCGGCCCCCGTGCACATATATGAAAGGCAAATTCCCGACCCCCGTGAACTGTCTATCGGGCAAATGCCCGGGGGTGTCCCGGGGGGGGGGGGATGGTTACTCCAGGAATTGACTCGTGCATTAGTACATACGTCGGATGTTTTCGTAAAATGCCCGTTCAAATTTCAGTTTTTATGGTTGTATGTTTGGAGTTTCGGCCCTGCTCATTTCACCAGTAGAGGGCTCATTATTTAAGTCATCTTTATTGTCATAAGTGCTGCTAGATTGTGGAGAAAACACTGCAAATTCTTGAGAAAACTTTATATCATATCGCGAACATGATCGAACCTGGCGTACGGCGGTTCAAAAAACTTCCAGAATACCGCTTGAAAAAAAACAAGTTTACATTATCTTTTTTTGAAACATCACATCCAAGTATCGTTTTGTCTTTTAGAACTCTTTTTATGCTTTCAACTAAAGCAAAGTTCACACTTTTGTTTCAAAAGAGTTCCATATAAAAACACAACGTTCGTTCGAAGTCACACAAGTTTTAGTTTACATATATACGAAGAGTAACCCCCGGAAATAAAACCCTAGGGAGCCACCTTAAAATAACTTCAAGCGTTTTTGTTCTTTCTCAGGATATTTTGACACAAAATATGCCATCGTAATGGAGAATTATATTTTTAGGGGATCCGATATTTCAGATGGTTTCATGCACTGTGGTATCTTTTGTATTGTGCATACTTCATAGTTGTATGATAAATCATGTATCATGTAATAATAATGATACATTGTGGCTATAAAATCTGGTAAATGCGAGTTACGTACAAAATACAAGGACACTTGTATGATGTGTAGTCGGTTCTCTCGCTTGGGGGCTATCTTAAGTAATACCAAGTCACTGAACTGGCAGTCAGGTAATTTTAAAAATAATTAAAACCAATTGAGTACTTACAATAACTGGCACAGGAAGAGCAATGGTAAGAACACCAGATATTGCACAAAGTGAGCCCACGATCTTTCCCCACAGCGTCACTGGCTTCATGTCGCCATAACCGACCGTTGTCATGGTAACCACCGCCCACCAAAATGCTTCAGGAATACTCTGAAATAAAATAACACGAAGGTTAGTTTGGTTTTACTACAGTCAAGGGGAGGGTGGTCGGAAATAAGTGGCAATGCCATGTACAAGGTCAATGTAGAACATATATTGGCCCAGGTTTCCCTATAATGTTGATGAGGTACGTTAAAACAGCTAATTACAAAGGCAACAAGTTTTTATCCACTAATATTGTAATGGCAAATGGCATAATTCAAAATTTAGAATTTAAAAAACTCCTTTGTCGATATTTAAATTGCCCCTTACGAATTCTTATTGTTTCATTGGAAAGAATAATATATTTGCCACGTGTTTGAATAATATATTTGCAAATTACTCAACAGTACGTCGCGTCACACATGCATAATTACTTACAGTTGAAAGCTTTTTTATCATGGTTATTATCAAATGCAAACGCTTCGTAAAAAAGACTGTGTTTTGACTTTGCGCTAAAGACCAAACGTGGGAAATTTTTAGTGTTTTCATTTGAAAATAGCAAACTTAATCTACATTCTGTCCAAAATTAAATCCATTTCCTGCTTGCAATTTTAAAAAATATAGAATAAAACATATTCCAAATACATGCATCTTAAAAATCGAAAATAAGTTGGATTTTCAAGATACATATTTTAGATATGTATTGGCGGGTTTCTCGCCTTTGATAGCGGTACGGAAAGCTAATTGCGTGACCCTTATGCTAAAATAATGGGCAAGTTAAGAAAAAACATGGCATAAAAGCGATTATAATTCGCACAGTAGGGAAGTCAGAGATCAGTTGAAATGTTATGAACACATGGGAAGAGAAGATAATCAAGTGAACATTTGCATAATGTTATTTTCACTTCCAAAACGTTCTCGAAACTTCGGTATTATTATATGTACACCAGAATGTTTATTTCTTA